ATATATATATATATAGATATATATATATATATAGATATATATAGATAGATATATAGATATAGAGGTTTTTTTTATTAATCCAGTTGATAGGCCAGGCAGGCCATACTGACGGTTTTTAGACATCCGAATAAACGGTTGATCGAACCGTCTGACAAGTAATGTTAAAGTTGCTGTTGTTGTGGAAATGCCAGATATCTGCCGATACCAGATGTATTACCAAATCGGTACATTGGGCCTAATGCGCAGAGGCCTCCTCCCTCTCAGCAGCTGTTGAAAGCGAGCTGGCTGCCTGCTGGAGGTTGGACGTGAGACTGTTGTTGAGCTCAGGGCACATACAGTCCTGAATGGAGTTGGACCGGTTGCTTCCAGGCGGAAAAAAAAAAAGATTTACGAATTCTGGAAAAGACTTCTAGAACACCGTCACTGAAATCACGCGAGAAACACAACAATGCCATTTTTTATTCTATTTTTTTTTGTTGCTTGCTGCTGTCAAAAACTAAACAATTGCAGCATTGCTCACAGAGTTAGCTACATTGTAATGTGTTAACAACAAGTTTGGCTTGTGTCCATCTTGTAGCCAGCGTACCCTTCTGTTTTAGACAAATACAACATCAGGCACAAGGAACAGCTAGGTTAGCTAACACTAGCTGGTTAGCCACAGGGCTAACTACTGTATTCAGAGGCTCGCTGTTAGCTACCTCCTGTTTGTTAAATACCATTAGTTCGCTAAGCTCGGTGCGTCGTTACTGCTTCCAATGGCCCTTTACAGTACGAACTGTGGGGAACGTCAGATACACAGTTTACTGCGGACAAATAACGTCACAAACGGCAAATAAACAAAAGGAGAGTCGTGTTGTTGAAGGTGAATTTGAGCGTGGTAATAAGACAAACTGTCAGGGTTAGCGAGTTCACTGTCACCCGTTTGGGCATTCCTCTGCTCATCTGTTAAACAAAGCAAGGTTACAGGAGAGGCAGCTCAGACTAGATTTACCAGGAGTGCGCGCACGCACACACACAATCAACATAATCGCATACTGTGAGTGAGTGTGAGACCCCCCTCCGCAACAGCAGTGACAGATTTGAGCTGAGACCCTCTTAACTGTTGTGACCACTAGCTCAGACTAGCTCGCTAACCTTTGTAATGGACCCGCAGGTTGTTCTGTGACAGCCCAATGTAGCTGTACTTATCCTTGGGGCTCCAGGATCGGGGTAAAGGGGTCTCTTCCTCGTTCACAGCCGGGTAGAGCCGCTTCAGCCGCTCGTTCAGCTCGTGTTCCTGGTAATTAAAAGCAGGATCTCCCAACGGCAGGCTTCCCGCTCCGAGCTCTGCCATGTTGGCCCCTGTTTTGTTATCTTATTGTTCGTTTCTTTCTATCCAAAACCCCGTGTCAGTCCGCTTGAGCTGTGGGCTGAGAGTGAGAGGGACTGAGGGGAGAAAATAGCAGCGGTGTGACATCCCCGGATAAGCAGCAGAATGTACTGTAGGCTGGAGCGGTGCCGTCTGGTTACTGTAGTTCCTCTGCACTCTCTGGAAATGACTACACAGCTCCACCACGGTTATCCTGGTTAAGGGCTTTCACAAAGAAAGGTAGCTAGGAAATGTAGTTTTTCCAGCTGTTAAATTTAAAGACCGTTTTTAAGAACATTAACGTTATGTAATTTCAACTTGATCCCTAAATGTATCCATACGAGAATGGGGAACATAAAAGTCTTTGCTGTGCATGCAAATCAATTGACAGAATAAATATTATCTCCAGAACAACAGAAAAAGTGTATTTGTTTCTCTAAATATTCCTCACGAGTTTCTATTCAAGTGATTTTGGCATGTTTTCTTATATCTATGCTATTATGAGCGTATTATTATATTATGAAGATGCAGTTAATATGTGATATTTATGAAATAGGTTAACCGTTTTTTTATATATTCATCAATTTTTTTGTCATTTGTCACGTGTTCACGTGAAAGTTGCAGGTTCCCGTGGTTAGACAGTCCGTGCTCTCTATTTAAGAGGAAACTTTTCGTCTTACACAATTTGAAATCTAGTTAGGCGCGCCGCGGTCTACTATGTGGGTCTTGATGCGTGGTCCGTCCTCGTTGCCATGGAAACCCTGTTACAACGCCGTGCTCTGTGATGCTAAAGACAACCTTGAGCTAAACGAACCAAATTCAGCAACGTCAAAAGGACAATAGGTAGTTACGTTGTTATTGAGCCTCCATAGAGTCGCTAGAGATGTCACCACTTAAAGATGTAAAATTCCCACCTTTAACACCGTCACAAAAACAAAGGCAAGTCATTAAAATATCCAAAAATATAATATAGTTTGTTTTGGTGTTGTTTGTTTTCTATATATAGCAAATTGGGACTACAATTTAAATTTCGTGTTACAACCCTGTCCTACAATGACAAATGAAAACCCTTGTAACCTCGTAACCTTGTCAAAGTTTTTCATATAGTGAAACTATTATGGCTATTCCATTATTGTAATTTACTAGCTCGTCATACATGGTAGAGCTACTAGAGTTAGCGTTAACTACGATGTGCAATGTATCTTCGATCTGTTCTTTGACAGGAGTGCATATGACCATAGACTACAAAATGACACTGTCCAGACATCAGTGGAAGGACAAGAAGGAGAAAGTGCCGCTGCTGTTTCTGTCCAACCTGCAGGGACAAAGGTAGCTAGAGGTTCATAACACCTGGCAGAATTTCACTCCTGAAAATCCCACTTCAGTTAAATTAGTGATTAATCGATCAAGTAGTTACATGTTACATGCTACATGCTGGCTGCGAAGATGATTGAGTCACTATCAAAGCTGCGTGTGTGTGTGTGTGTGTGTGCGTGCATGCGTGTGTGTGTGTGTAGTTCTGCTGGACAGGTAGCAGTTACATTTATTCAAGCCCAGGGAGAAAGCCTCAACTCCTGATGCACCTGGAGAGCTATGTGACCAAGGAGCTACATACTATCAGCTCTTATGAGCCAACATTTCAGGAACTGAAACTACAGGTGCTGTTTTTTACAATAAAACCAGAGGAATTACCATAAAAACATTGTTAGAGGGGGTACTTACATATTTCAATCTGGCCACAGGTCTACCGCGATGTCTTTGGTCGTTTCATCAAAGAGTTCAAAACCTACCAACCGCTTCTTTCTGCCATCAAAAAGGAATATGAAAACACTTTGGGTCTGTACCTCTATGATCATTTTCCTTTCTTAAGAATAACTCGATTGGATAAGGTGAAGTTACTACCAGGCAGCCATCTGAGTTACATTTAAGAAATTAAGCAAGAAAAAACTGAGACACTATAAAATGATGACACCTGAAATATACAGAAAAAATGAAATCTTTCAGAAAAACAGAGTGAGCATTACTCTAATGCACAATCTTCTAATTTGTTATTTAAATGACAGAAAATGTTTAAGAATTTTGAGTCTGCATCAAAATACAAAGTGACTCACAACCACGGGACACATTTTCTATTTAAAGTTATAGTTCATGAGTCATTGGCAAAAATATTGCAAAATGCCAATCTCACAATTTTAAGACTCTTAAGATCTGAAGTGATAACTTTTTAAATTAGTTTAATTGAAATTTGATAACATAGTTTTTATTGTTGATTAAGCAACCAGCTATATTATTTTTCGGTGTGTCCTTTAGTTATTTAGCCTGTAAAACCTTTAACATAATGGCAAGTGCCCATCCCAGCTTCTCAGATACTGAGGGGATTGGTGTCTCCAGATCGCTCAATCACTTACTTTTCATTTGACCAAGTAATTGTTTCAGCCCTAGAGTTTCACGAAGAGATCATTTTGAAGCATTTTCCATCTGCTCAGCATATCAGCAGGATAAAATCCGAGAACTGGAGCCGCTGCGATCCCATCTGAGGCTGGTGACAGAGGAATGCGACAGAAGGATTCAAGCTCGCTGGGCAGAGGAGCAGGCGGAGATTGGAGCCTTGAAAAGGGAGAAGCAACAACTGCAGAGGGACGTCAAGGCCATGAGGGAGAAAGAAATGGCCATGCAGGCAGTGGTACATGACCAAACATGACTCTCAAACGTGTATGGAAAAGTTATTTACAGGAGAGGTCCCTTTATCGCC